TACCATATTGAAAAATATACTATTTTTGTATGATAATTATGGGTTTTGTATTTTATTTTAATAGAAGTTGATGTTGCTTTTGCAATTATCCATCAATTTTTTAAAATTAAACACTATCTACAGATTTGCATCGAAGCGTTTCTTATGATAGTGATTTTAATCACTGTCAGATTAAATCTATACTGGACCCTACTATGCAATGTCTCCACTATGCCGCGACCCCACTGTGCTACCGTTTTATTACCCTAACTTAATCAAACAATTCTCATTTAACTATATCTCTTTTATCAATGTTGAAATTACATCTTGGTTATTTGACATAAATTACTATTAATGGCAAAACTTACAACGAAAATCTATCAAGAGATGACTACAGAGAGTTTTTGGAATTGATTTTTAGGTTGGATACCCATTGAAGGTATTAATTTTCGAAAACTCGGCGCTACATATTCGGAGGCGGCCTTGTCACAATGTCAAGGGTAGAGAGACATCCGATTGTTTTATTGATAGGTGGGCGGCTGATATCGAGAAAGACACGTGTGAGCGCCAGCCTAGAGCATAGCGTGGTGCCGTATCAACTAATACTAGATGTATTCAAATATTAAGTTTAGTTTTCTTTTTCTTTATCGTTGTTCGATTTTGAACTTGGTGATTTTCATGCAGTTATGTTATTTCGATTGGATAAAATTTTCCAAAACTCTCTATTCTCTGTATTCCGGATGCTTTCTGACATTGACATTTATGTGAGGATTTTAATTTGGTCTATATAGCGGATGGAAGACTTGCTTCTGCTCATCTTTCCTTCGACTTTTCCTTGGATAATGTCCTTTTTAATACCATCTCTTCTTATCATATGGCCAAAGTATTTTATTATTTGACTCTGAATTGTGATTACGACGTTGTCTTGGGCTTTTATTTTAAGTTCCTGTATTATAGATACATTCGTTCTATGTTATTATAGGGAATATCAGTGTTTTCATTAGTTATAACTTCGTTCTTTTCCTGATATCATGATCCTTCAGTATTTTGACAAGTTTGGTAATCGTGTTTTAGCCATACCAACTCTTCCTTTAATTTCCTCTTCCAAACCACCTTTATTTGATAGAAGTGCACCTAGATATATTACATTGTCTTTACGATCTATAACGGGTATTAGGTTAAATTTGGAAGGTTTTGTTTTTGCCTTATCAATAGTTATATGAGTCGATAAAGGGTCAGATTTATAAAAAAATATACAAAATTATAGGTATAAGCACCTCATGTATCTATAATACAAATTATATTGATTTAGTAATTTTTAAAAAAGTTATGGCAATTTTAAGAATGGCAATTTTTAAATTTGTAATTTATTGGAGATTTCCTCAATTTACA